GTTTGGTAAGGCCCTTGGTCTTACATTTTGGAGGCCCCAGCGAGATGCCCGGGTAAGGAACCCCGGTTCAGCCGAGACTCTGTGGCGGGATCCAGCAGGAGACTCAGGCACAGACCTCAGAAAACCTCCGGAGGTAAGTTTTTGGCTGGTTGCAATCATTTGTTGTCAGGAGTGAGGTGGCTGACAGGCCGGTAAGCCTCCCCTGACCCCGAGGTTCCTGACGAGGAATAAGGGAAGGTTTACTTTCAGTTTCGTTGTGGCGCCTATTCGTATTGTCATTAGTGCGTTAGTGTCTTGTCTGTTGTGTGTTTAATTTTGTATTTCTTTCCAAACCATCAGGACCGAGATGGGAGGATCCTGCTCCAAAAATACCCCATTGGATTGTTTTCTCACTAATTTTAAATTGGCTTCCCCCCCCCCCAACAGGAGAATGAATATGGGGTTAAATTGTCTCATGGAAAACTTCGCTCCCTGTGTCAATTGGAATGGCCAGCCTCTGGAGTTGGATGGCCAGCTGAGGGCTCTTTTGACCCAGGTCTCTGCAGGGCGATATGGAAAAGGGTCACCGGGCACCCTAGCCATCCTGATCAGTTTCCATATATAAATATCTGGGTTTGGGCTTGTCAAGAGCCTCCGGCATGGTTGCAGCATTGTTCTCTGTGAACAAACTCTCGCATTCTGGTTATGGCCCCAAGGGAACCCCAAGAAGCCAAAACCTGGGCTCCCAAGCCAGTGCTCTCACAAGATCCTGACCCCTTAGATCTTTTTATAAGACCTCTCCCTCCCACACGCGAACAGAGGGCCCCCTCGATGAGCAACAGCGGGCCCATCTTGAGGCGCAACTTCCGTCCACCCGTCCTCCGTGGCGAGCTAATTCCTCGGGCGGGAGAGAAGCTCTCCAAACCTATCGTCAGCATCTCCTAGCCAGCCTGAGGGGAGCTGCCAACTTGAACAAGGTAAACAAGGTCCTTCAAGGACCTGAGAAATCCCCTTCTGCCTTTCTGGAGTGTCTGTTGGAAACATATTGTACATATACTCCAATTGACCCAGATGCCCCTGTAAATCGGCAGGCAATTAATTTTGTTACTCAGTCAGCCCCAGATATTAGGAAAAAAAAAGAAAAACTACAACAAATGAAAGGATTTGAGGGAGAGAATAGAAAAAAGTTGATGAGTGTGGCAATGAAGGTGTTTAACAATAGAGATCCTTTTGAGGATAGAATGGCTAAAAAGATAGGAAGGGTGAACATTGCAGCCTTGACAGATGGAGGTTTTATCCGAAAGGAATACAGAGAAAATAAAA